GGCAAATGCTACTTTCTAAACTGATGTGTTAAAAACCACCCGATTTTAAGAGCTAAAAACATTTGAGTGCTGGGTTATACAAAATTATATGGGCATAGGACATTATATGTAATAATTGCATGTTTATATATCTGATGGCAACAAATGTGTTCAGAAAAGCTGTATGTTCATGGATGCTTTTTGTATCTTTATTAAGTAAATTTGGTATCTGAACACAGAGCTGATATTTGGCTGTTGCATTGGGAGCTCTGCTGTTCTGTAGTCACACAGAGAACGTGGTGTCCGTCTTACAGTGAAAACACCAAGTAAAACCGAGTCAGTGCAGTGGAGGAATTTATTCCACTAGAACAAAATAAACCCCTTCCAAACTATTAGCAGTACCTAGGAGGGACAGGGGAAGCTCGGAAGTGTAGCATTTGTGGGTTTTTTTAAAAAAACCAACCCAAACAACAAACCCCACAAAATAAAAATCAAAACCCCACAACAAGGAGGCGGCTTCTACCCATCCTGTACAGTATTGTCTAAGAGTAATTGAGTGACCAGCTTTCACAGTGATGTGGATTTTGTGACCCTTGTGATTTTTAGATTGCCAGTTGTCCCAACTTTTATCCCTGGTAGTGTCTCAGTGTTTTCAGATATGCTTTATATGTGGTGACTTTCTGTATGTGCTACCTGCTCCCTGCCACTGTCCTTACAAGAACAACACTGAGAATTTGAACAGGCCATGTGTTTTATCCAAAACAGCTACACCAGGCATCTTCCCAGTGGATTTCAGGTTCTTGCCTTTTCAAAACTTGTTGGGGGAGTGGGGAAGGAGGCTCCCTGTGAGGCTGCCTGGTTCTGCGTTGTGTTAATATTAGTCCATACCCATATTGCAAGAGAGAGCCCTTCCAGCTTCAGTTACAAGTAATTGGAAGGTACTTGTTCGGTTTGAGGTTTTTCGCCCCCTCTGAAAGGTCGGGTGCACGTTGCAGACAGAACTGGTTCATTGAAAGTCAAAGAATGTAGCTATCCAGACGGTATTTTTTATTTCCTAAGTGTTCAGAGCAATGTGCTAAAGGTCTCTTTCTTATTCCTTAATGTAACGGTACGTGGTGGTGTTAGTCACCTTTTATCATGTTTATCTAGCTTCTTTCCCTTAATTGCTATGAAAAATTCATTTGCAAAACCTCTGAGATGGATTGTTGACTTTTTATGTGAAAGAAAGGTGGCTTTTCTGACCAAGCCTTAAAAACAATCCAAGTCCACAAAATCTTGAGTATTATTAGTGTCAAAGCCTGCTCTGTACTTGTCATAAAATTCAGTTCTGTAATTCTGTGTTTTGGGTAAATAGGCCACTAGATAAGATTGACAACAGCATCAGCAATGAAAGGTTTTAAGATGGAAACTGCAGAAGAAAAGGGAGCAATTTCTTTCAAGAGAAATTACACTGATGTTATTTGTTATTGCTTCAGTTAAAGATCTGTCAGGGTTTCCAATTTAAAATCTTCCTTTCCAGAAGACTAAAGACATGTATTTCAAGGCAGAACTTAAAGTGCAGAGAACCCTTTTCCTGCCAGCTCTTTGATGTGAAGGTCAGTCATAATTCCTTACCATTCTGGGAAGAGCAGGAAAATATTAGTGGTGTGTTGTCTTCCTAGTATCTCTAAAATGGAGGAACTGGCCAGGCCAGGCCACACTGGTGTGGTGACATTCCTGATGCTTTCTGAATTGAGTAACCAATATATGGTCATTGATCAACCCCGCTCTCACATCTGTGTCTAAGAAGTGCTATGTCTGCGTCATTTTTAAAAAAACAAACACCTTTATTATAGATTTGTAAGAAGCTTCAGAAATGCCTTGAAACTTCATCTTTGAGGAATGTGAAATTTCAACAAAAGCTAGTGAGAAACAGGATAGCACAATATTTGTTTCTGTTAACCACTCAACTGACTTTGAAAGTGAAAAGCTACAAATTACTAATACTTTATAGAGTTTTTTTTTTTCTCTGTGATCTATATGAGGTAGAATATAAGGGTGAATTACCACTGGAATGGCTGTTAGAAGTGCCAAAGCATCGATACAGATGTTGAGGTTCAAGTGTCTATTGGGGTTATTTTTGTAGCTTGTTGACTGGTAAAATTGGACCCTTTTATATCTCTCAGCTGCTTGCTAGAGGTGGTCTCAAAGTCTTTGTCAGTAAACATTTGAGTATCTCTCTAACAATTAAAAATGAATAGTGGCAGGATGAAAGTGAGAATTTTGAGATGTGCTTTGACTGCAGGGGTTAATTCATATTTGATTGAAGGTTGGTGGTTTTTCCTGCTTTTACTATTTTGCCAGGCTCATCGTGTCAGGACAGTCTGTCATCTCAGGAATCAGTGTTCATAAGGGCTGGTGCTTTGGTAAGAACAAAGGGAACAAGGAAGAAACAGTGGGGGTACAGAAGAGATTGTAGAAGTGAGAGTCATGCTTTCAGCTTATCCAAATTTATCTTGTCTGTCCACGTACATTTCTGATGAAAAATTGGGAATGGAGATGAGAAAATTACACCCAAGTTCTTTTACTTTTTTTTTCTTTTTTTGAAGCTATAACTGCAGTGCACACCCCCCCATACAAAAATCAGTGTGAAAGCTAAAAGCATCTGCAAAAACAGGTTTATCTTTCCCTTTCCATTGCAATAGCTGTACAGATTGTGTCATGGCTTGCACAACCTTGGTTGTCTGTTGCAGATCAAGAACAAAATAGATTTCTGGAGTGCAGCACAATTGATAT